CTCCCACACAGGAATGTCGGCTATATCTTTCATTAGAATTGTTTTTATTAAAGCAATCAGAGTGTTAGGCTGCAATACACAGTATACAGTAGTTAAATATAGAATTTAAATCAGGAGATATCATCTACAATGCACTGATAAGACCTACGGTAGGTCAGAACATTGTGCTCAGCTGTGGACAGCAGAAAGTAAAGTAAGATACCGCTGCCTGAATAAAGGACACTAAGAGAAGGGCTCATTTACAAAGTAAAATGTACACAGTAACTTGTTAAATCTCCAACTGACATCACAAAATACATGAAATTTCCTGGTGTGCGCAGCGCCATTTTCTGCAATTCAGAGTGAGGCAACAAAATGTCCAGTGAGGTGATGCAACATTATTACACTGTAAACAAGCGGGCTTGTGAGTCCATCTGTTTTAACCCAATAGAAATATTGCTCTTGACTTCGAGATGGTTTCGCTGCTACTATGTACTTGTGAACTCTGCCTGCAGATCATGTTGGAACATCTCTGCGGTGAGATGTCTGCTGCACAACCGCTCGTACGTCACAGTACATCAGTCATGACGGGGACTAGTGAGCAGGAAGGGCCGCTTCATGTCACAATTCTCGTGGCGACAACGCGGCCACTTACAGCACTTTCGCAACGTTCACGATTTTGTTCTTTGGTCAGAATTTGTCCCTTTTTTTTCCCGAAACCGTCAACGAATCTATTTTTTTTCCAAGATTGAATAACCGGTCTGAGAAACTGGGGCCACAGCTTCCCTTGAAAACAGAGAACAAGAGGCACGTCTTTGCACAAAGGGTGGTGGGAGTCTGGAACAAGCTGCCCGGCCTCGCGACTGAAGCCAATATCTTGGATTCTCTCAGGAAACCGCTGGATGAGATTTTCAAATCAATTAACCGCCAACCGCTGACCAGACTAGATATCATTAGCCAAATGGCTTCCCCTCGTTTGTAACTGCTCTAATGTAATTGCTCCCGTCTGAATTTTTCCAGTGCACCTGGTGGAACGTCTCTGCATCTTTCCCTGCGTGATATAGAAATGGCTGCAACAGTCCAGTGATTCCTTAGACATCATTATCATGCATGAGACTAAACACAAAACGGACTCTCTGCCAAATTATAAGAGCTGGAGAAGGAGGGAGGCTAAGAGTATCAGTGTTTGTACAAATCTCAGCTGGCCTGTGGGGTCAGGACACGCACTTAGCATGTTGTAGTCCACACTGGCCTGCCTTGCTGATGCAAGCCAAGCTGACACAGAAGAGTAATTAGGCCAGCCATTGGTGGAATCGGTATATTACTGCTGCAACAAGCTGACACCACCCTGTAGCTCTGGCGCAGGATGGGGACTGTGTTTCAAGGGGAGGAGTGAGTCAGCTGACTGGAGATGGAAAAAGAGAAAGAGAAGGAGAGAGAGATTCAGGCCTTGGAAAAGAAACAACTCTGCTGGAGAACTGGGTTACCAGTGAATCTAGACAAAAACCTCTTTGCCCTTGCACGAGAACAGAAGATCGCTTACGACGCGAAGAGGCGATTCTGTCCATCCCTCCTGCACTAGTTAAGTCATCCGGCAATATCGTCTTGTCGTTTCTTGAGTACGTCCGGGGGATCGGCTTTAAGCACCTGGCTGGGGAGCTTGTCCCAGACTCCCTGCTCCGTTTGGGCAAACAAGTGGAACTCGATTGATGGCTGAAAGTGTAATCGCCCTGCAGGTCCCTCCTGGCAGCCCCCCTGGAGCTCAGCAGTTTTGGGCTTGTTCGTTCCTTGGTTGGGGGCCTCCTGGGAAAGCTGAGGTTGCTGCTGGAAGAGGTGTTAGTGAGGCCAGTAGGGGGTGCTCACCCTGCGGTCTGTGTGGGTCCTGATGCCCTAGTATGGTGACGGGGACACTACACTATTACTATTACTACTACACTATCCTTCAGATAAGATGTAAAACTGAGGTCCTGACTCTCTGTGGTCATTAACAATCCGAGGGTGTTTCTCGAAAACAGTAGGGGTGTTACCCTGGCATCCTGGCCAGATTTCCCCCTGGCCTTTACCAGTCATGGCCTCCTAATAACCCCCATCTCTGAACTGGCTTCATCACTCTGCTCTCCTCCCCACTGAGAGCTGGTGTGTGTGAGAGGACTGGAGCATCATCCAGGTGGGGCTGCACACTGGGGGGGTGGAGGGGATCCCCATGACCTGTAAAGAGCTCTGAGTGGGGTGTCCAGAAAAGCGCTATAGAAGGGTGGGGAATTAAGTAACTTAACCTCCTGTCTTCAAAGTCAGCGAAACAGCGCTTACCCAGAAAGGTGCTTCGATCGCAGTCACGGCCAGGCTCCGTGAATCAATTGTTAAACATGTGAAACACACCTTTGATTATCTGAATTCTTCATCGTAACCTCAACTTCATGCTAGATTTCGCAAAACCCAACTAGTAGCACAAAGTGGGCTGTGAAATCTTTGTTGCCTTAGAGCCATACAAGAGGTGTCAAGTGGTCCAGTAAGCTTTGATCTGACATACCGTCGATTCATTTGCCCATGATGGACTAGTTATACTGTATATTTGACAACTAAACCAGGGCTCCCCTTATTCTGGGTCCTAACATTGTGTCCCAGTGTTCACCGTTCACAGTGACACCCCAGTGGGGAGAGCTGGGACAGAGGCAGGACTTTCTCTCCAGTTCTCAGGAAGGGCTGCAGGTCAGAGGCAGCTCTGCGGGAGTAGGGGTACATGCCTGTGTGGTGTGTGGGCGTGCGTCTCTGTGCATGTGGTGTGGTGCGTGTGTTTGTGCGCGCGCACACATCTTCATGCGTGTGTGGAGCGCGTGCGTCTTTGTGTGCGTGTGGCGTGCGTGCGTGCGGCATGTGTGCGTGCAAGTGCGCGTGCGTGTCCTCGGGGGTGTGCGTGTGTGGGCGTGCAAGTGTGCATTTGTGTGCACGTGGCATTTATGCGTCTGTGCGCGTGCGAGTGTGCACCTGTGTGCATGTGACATGTGTGTGTGCGGCTGTCTCTTCATGCGTGTGTGGCATGTGGGTGTGGTGTGTGCACACGGTGATTCACATGCTGTCCGTAAACCCTGCCAACGTATATTTCCCTTTCCTGTTCCAAGATTCGGCCAGTCTCACGGAGAAATAGAGGGAGGAGGTCAGGAACAGGCCGCTGAGCTGGAAAGGAAAGGAAAACGTGCTGAAAGAATTTGAGGCAGTAACAACATCAGGCATCTGTAGCTTAGTCACTCTAAAGAGGAACTCCCACGCTATGTTTGTATTTTGGGGATAGAAAGAAACAGTATGGGTGAGCGCATTTCAAACCACAATTAACACGTCTACAACCTTCCATTTACATCACAAAATAAACCAAGCTTCCAGGTATGCGCAGTGCCATTCAGAACGAGGCAACAAAACTTCTGGTGAGGTGAAGCAGCCCTATTGCACTGTAAACAAGCAGGCTTGTGAGCCCATCTCTTTTAATCCCATAGAAATATTGCTCTCAATTTCGAGATGGTTTTGCTGACAAATACTGCTTGTTAACTCTGCCTGCAGATCATGGTGGAACATCTCTGCAGTGAAATGTCTGCTGCACAACCTGCACTCCTTCGCTCGTACATCACAGTACATCAGTCATGACAGGGACTAGTGAGCAGGAAGGGCCGCCTTACATCATGAACTCGGATGCGAGGGAGTTTGGACGACGTGGCGACTTACAGTGCTTTCACAAAGTTCCCCATTTTATGCTTCATTTGAAATTTGCCATTTTCTTTTCTAAAAAAGTCAATGAATTGATTATGTTACTGAGACTGAAACATCGGTCTGAGAAATTGGGACTGCGGTTCCCCTTTAACAGTCAACATGGGCCCACTGCCACTGTCGGCCAGCCTCCCAGGATACTGGCCACCCTGCCAGGAGGGTCCTGGCTTCACGGCTCCTCGTCTGGGCTCTGCAGCCATGTGTGGCTGAGATGCCTCATCCAGTGGCACATGACTGCGTCGCGATCATCTTCCCTCCTCTAGAGGGCGCTCCTACCCTTTTGTATTCTGGTTAGTTTAAGTTCCCACACCTGTGTCTCGTTACCTTTTCTACTGTGCTATTCTCTGCTGTTCTGGGCTCAGTATTGGAAGACGGACGTCTGAAGGCCCGCCTGTCCACTGGCTTAGAAGAAGGCCTCTTCCCCAGGTGTCCTGAGTCCGGGGCTCGGAACGCCAGGCTCCGTTACGGTTTTTAACCTTCTCAGTTCCTGGATCCCTGTTCCCCGTGTTTGTCTGGATGGATCCCCCAAACTGCGCCCCGATTCCCCTTGTTGGACTTCCTCCTGGACTCGCTCGCTACGCCCCCCTCCCCCGAGTACCGGACCAGTGCCGTCACCGCCCCCCCCCCCCCGTCTGTCTTCGCGTCCTGACCTGCGCCGTGTCCTCCCTCTTCTCCAGCCCCTTCCGCATAGGGGTCTTTACTACGCATCTCCCGGGAGTCAGGACCGGCTCCCGTGACAGACTGCCCAAGAGGCGGCAGGCGTGGTGGGGCTGGTGGCCACCAGGGCAGTGGCTGCCCTCGCTGAGTTATCGGTGAGCGCCACGCCAGACCCGCGGCAGGTGCCCACACTGCTCTATGGGTGGGTCCTCAGGGGGAGCGGGGGAGCAGTGGAAGACAGACGAGCCCGTACGCCCAGCGTACGAGGAAATCCGACAGCAGAAGCGCGAGGGCCTGGCGGAGCGGAGGAGAAGGTTGCTCCGGCGTCACGTGGGCAGGGCGTCCCCGCTGTCACTCCCAGAGGAAACCCCTTCCTCCCGCGCTCATTCCGAAACATTCCATTGCCCGGGGTCGCGTTTCTCAGGGCTCGCCACTTTCCTTCAGCAGAGTCGTTTTCCGTTCTCATCTGCTTTGTATTTACTCAATCTGCAGCCCTCTTCCTCAGTTGTATAACAGTGCAGAATGAATGAAGAGGCAGCTTCACTGATTTCCATCTAGGAGGGCAGGCTTACAAACACAAAGGTCAAGAGAGACACAGACACAGCACCCCCACTGCACAGCTGTCTGCTTCCTATCTTTGTCTGCAGGCCAGGAGCTCGTGCTGGGTTTCGTTTGTGCAGCCAGATGTGTGAACTACCACCTACTGCTTACTGGCATGAGCAGTGATGACACTTTGCAAGGAACAGCACCCTGAAAGACCTGCATCGGGCAACTGGGGCGTGCAGTGGGAGCCTAGAGTGAGAGGGGGGCACTCACTGCGATTGTGGCCGTGGCCAGGATCAGCGTCCAGCAGATATCCAGGTGTTTGTGCAGGAAGTGTCCGATCGCCAGCAAGCAGTCCTGGATGGGGTGAGAGGACAAGGCAGCGCAGTGCCTTTTGTTAGAGACTCAGAAGAACGTGTGGTCCAGTCTCAAATTATCTGCCACAGCAATCAACACGCTACTGTGTATACATACGTGCTATGTACCGTACGCGTGCGCACGCATGATGTTTTGCCCAGTCCCATTCTCAGTGCGTCAAATACTGCCATTGATGTAGCCTCGCTCGCTCGTTTGCGCTCGTATATATAATTTTATTTGAGAAATGCGACAAAACGAGAAACGAGACAGAAAAGTGGCGCTCAGCTGAAGGACTTAGGGACAGGGAAAAACGCTGAAGAAATTAAAGGGAAAGGTCAGTGAAGCTCTGTTCTTGTGCTTCACGCAGCAAGGGGATATGGTTGTGCCCATCACAGGTCCGATCCTTCAAGAGAAAGCTCTGATCTACAGTAGATTAATAAACCAGACTTCCTACTTATACTGCACTTCTATTCATCTGTGTCTATTCAGTTTCCACATTATCCGACATACTATCGGTTCCGTTTAGATCAGATAATCAGGACTCTACTGTCCTTCAACGGCTCCTGGTGCTTGGACCTCAGCAGACACAAGTTGACTGACAGGCGGAATCAGGGGTGCCCAGTCCGGGTCCTGGGGTGGACTGCTTTGTCCCCAGGGGTTCAGGCCAGCTCGGCTCAGAACGACCTGGATCAGCTAATGAACTGGACCAGCTCTTCAGCTGCTGCCTGGTAGAGGAGACCTGGAGACCTAGACATCCTGCAGCCCTTCAGCACCAGGACTGGGGATCCCTGCTTTTATCCCTCAGGTTCGAGGCCCTGTGGAGGAGATCCTACTCAGCTGGACCTGTCCTGTCCCCTCAAGGCATTAGCCACTGACACACGAAAGAGACCTGGAGCACCTGGTGGACCAGAAGATAAGAGAGATGTCAGCCGAGAGGAAGGTTTTTAGCACGTTCGGCTACTTGGAGCTTAATTAATCAGAACTGATGGACTAACGGACCAGCAGGGGGCACCCACTCTGCGGTCTGTGTGGATCCTAATGCCCTGCTATGGTGGCGGGGACACTGTACGGTAGTGGGTGCCATCTTTTGGATGAGACGTTAAACCGAGGTCCTGACTCTCAGTGGTCCTTAAAGATCCCCTGGCGTTTCCCGATAATAGTAGGGAGTTATCCCGGTGTCCAGGCCAAATTTTCCCCCCTCGGCCTTTACCACGGCCTCCAAACTGTCCCAATGTATGATTGGCTTGCACTTGCCCTGCGATGGACTGGCGTCCCTTCCAGGGTGTACCCTGCCTTGCGCTGTTGCTTGCCAGGTAGGATCTGGCTTCCCCCGACACTGTGTGGTATAAAGTGGTTTGGCAAATGGCATGACATGATGGCCTAATGTCTCCCTCTGGTAGGCAGGAATCAGGAAGCCCTGACAGGTTACCTAAAGCACTGTGGAAACACTGACCGCCCAACGGTGTCCCCCTTTTCCTCTCCTGGCCTGTTATCTCTTTCATTACAACCAGGAGGTGGTCCCAGTGGGCAGTGCTGACTGGAAGAGCAATCAACACTCTCATGCTCCCCCACCCCCCACCCCCCCCTGGGGGGGGGCAGATCCATTTACGAGCCAATAGGTATCCATCTCGGAGAAGTGCTTCCAGCTGACAGCAGCTCTTCTGCGGTATCAGAGAGGAGTGGGATCGGTCCTCAGAGAGCGTGCAAGAGGAGACCGGAGATGAAGAGGCCGGGAAGGAGCAAAGAACTGGGTGGGGCAGGAAGGATTCGAGGGTCACACAGGGACCAGGGCATGGGTGAGAGAGGAAAGCGAGGGGGACTCCTATCTATTCCCCCCAAAATCAATGGACACTGTTTAAGCACTGCCCTCTGTTTAAATGGGGAATTTCTGGTTACTATTTATACTCTCTATTTTGGGATGGCTCATTGATTACCAGGCTAATTGAGATGTGCCAAGTGGAGGCCAGGGAGTGGTAATAAAATGCCCAGTGGGTGATTTGTGGTATCGGGAGCCTGTAAGCTTCGGCGCTCTCGAGAGAATGCAGGAACGCTCAGTCTGGTGTGGGAGGATCGTCCCAGACAGGAGGACTTGTGGGCGATCTCTTGCCGAGCCAGCCTTAGCCCGGGAGTCTCTGCTATCCTGACTCCCAGCTGGGACTGTGTCAGGGCTGGGTCCTCCGCTCTGTGCTTTGGAAGTGAACAGATATGGGAAAGGTGATTCCCCACGTCTGAATAAGGAAGGTTTTTCTCTTCCCGGATCGGCAGTCCCATTCGCCTCCAATCACAGCACCTTCTTTTGGCAACTGATATTCATCCTCTTTTTCCTTATGTCTGAATGTATGTTTATGTTGTATGTATGCATCTATGTGCTGTACACAGTGTATGTGCTGTACATATACATGTATGTGCTGTATGTATGCATGTATGTATGGCTGTACGTATGCATGTTTGTGCTGTATGTACGCATCTATGTCCTTTACATAGTGTATGTGCTGTATGTATGTATGGCTGTATGTATGCATCTATGTCCTTTACATAGTGTATGTGCTGTACATATACATGTATGTGCTGTATGTATGCATGTATGTATGGCTGTATGTATGCATGTATGTCCTTTACATAGTGTATGTGCTGTACATATACATGTATGTGCTGTATGTATGCATGTATGTATAGCTGTATGTATGCATCTTTGTGCTGTATGTATGCATCTATGTGCTGTATGTATGGCTGTATGTATGCATGTTTGTGCTGTATGTATGCATGTTTGTGCTGTACATAGTGTATGTGCTGT